CTAGGGAAACAAGTATGGAGATTCCTCAAAAGACTAAAAATGGATCTACTATATGATCCAGCAATTCCACTCCTAGGTAGCCCTCCAAAGAGCACAATACATACTACTTCGAAAGGAACCTACACTCCTATGTGTACTATGGCACTATTTATAATCGTCAAGATATGGAAATGACATAAATGCCCCAGAACAGATGAGTTATCAACAAGATGTGGTGTATATGCACAATGGAATATTACTCTGCTATCAAAAAAAGATAAATTCATGCCATTTGCAGCAGCATGGATAGAACAAAAAGGCATTATCTAAGTGAAGTGAGCCAGAAGGAGAAAGATAAATACCAGATGGCTTCACTTATAGGAGGATTACAGAGAAACTGAACAATGATCAAAGAAAGACAAACTTTGAAACCAACTCCTGAGAGCTGACCATAGACCTGAGGTATCCAGGAGGGGAGGGGAAGGGGATAAGAAAAAGGGTGGGGACAAAAAGGGGGGAGCACAATGGACTATGATGGAGGACTGTGGGTGCTTTGGTGGTAGGGGAACTAGGGTAACCACACCTGAGGGGAGGAATCCTATATTGTGAAAAAACCAACAAAGATGTAAAATAATGATACGTCATTAATTAAAAAAAAATAAAAATTAATAAACTTCTTTTCTGAGAGCTGCTTTTACAGAGGCCGGAGGCTTATCAGGATACAACCTGAGTGTGCCCAGGTTTAACCTTGAGCTGAGTCCCAGGCTGGCTGGAGCAGGGAGACACCAATGAAGAAGGGAGGGCGGTGGTGGGAGGTTACACAGAGGAAAGGGGCTCACCAACAGAAATTCAAAACTGCTGAGAAAGCCACACAGGAGGAGGAGTAGAAAGCAGAGAGCATGTGAGCTTTCTGGAACATTCCACAGTGGTTGATGCCAGACGCTGCAGGAGTTCCAGCCAAAGGTGAACCAAAAGGTTCTCCAAGTCCCTCCCTGAGCAGGCAAGACAGGATCAAAGGCTTGGCGCCTCCGGGATGGTGCTCAGAGTTTAAGGCTTAGGTCAACCTGAATATTTAAAACATCAGCCCTGCCCCTGCCCAGGCTCCTGGGAAGTTTCAAAAATCTTTCTGATTTCAGGAGAAACAATTTATGGCAGACACTTGTTGGCATGATGATTACAGCAAATTTTAGTTGCAACACCCATTTATCTCAAGCCTTTTCTCTTTATCTTTGTCATAGAAACCCTACCCCATAAGTGAAATAAAAACATGCTATACTTGAAATTCCCAGTTTTGCTTTCAGTAGTATCTGCACAGTTATGGGTATCTTTTTTAAAATAAAATATTTTAAAAATCTTAAATGCAGGGCCTCCCTGGTGGCGCAGCGGCTGAGCGCTGGGTTGCGAAGCTGCCCTCAGCCTCTACAGCACTGGTTTGATCCCCGGCCGCCGGCGAGGGTCCCACATGGCGCGCAGACCTCTGTGCTGCCCGCTGCTGCTCCCCTCAGCAGTGTACTTCGTCAGTCTGCCTGTTCTGCTCTCCGCTCTGGCTCTGGTGAATTCTCTCACCCTCCTGCACTTCTGACTGTACCCCAGTGCTTTTATAAATAAATAAATAAATCTTAAAAAAATTATAAAAAAAATCTTAAATGCAAATGTTAAATTTCTCCTTTCTAATTTGTCATTTATCACCTTTAGAACTCAAAGACATTTAGTGGCAGATTCCAAATTACAAATAATCTTTTGAACATGAAATTTTTAACTTAAACCTAAGAAGAGGTGGGGGTTGGCCATCCCTTTGGTAGGGGTGTTGAGAAACAGACTTACTTGGGATTCAAAAATATGCTTCCCCTTTAAGTTGTAGTCTTTGGAAAATTATATAAAATATATATATTATCCATTTGAAATTTATAACCATTTCTTATGAGCTCAGATATGTGTATATATATTGTATATAGATAGATAACTACATCAGAAGAAAGATATTTCTTCTTGAGTCTATGCCTATCCTATAAAAATAACTTTACACAACTTTAATTCATAAAACTTAAGATAGACACAGACTCCATTTCTTTTTTTTTTTTTTCCAATTAACACATTTATTACAAATCAAATAATTAAAACATAAAGTCCTTCTTTGTCTACACGTGGAAACTTTGTTGCCAATAAAATACCTTTAACTGTTTCTGTGCCAATCATTCCAGATAAGCAATTATCTTTAAGACCCCGAGACTACAAAGCATTTTTAAACTCAATAACTGATGATGTATTTTCATGAATGTTAGCTTCCTAATGTCCTGCTCCTTTGGGGGCAGGTCCCTGTTGGAGGGAGAGATTCCTATTGGATTAGCCCTCAACCTCCTTTCTACCCTCCTTCCTGTGTGCTGAGCTGGAAGATGAAAACATGTTTGGAGTCCCACAGGTGCCATGGGGAATTTAGCAAGTTAGCTTGTAGTGAGGTGCATCCCAATAGCTTTGGAAGGCAGAGTGGGGTGAAAGCCAAACTTCTGCTACTTTTGGTGTGTCTGCTGTTGAGCACAGTCCTGTGGGTGCAGGATTTTCTGGGCCTGATGCCAGTGTCTGTGACCAGTCTCATAAGCATCAAGACCCAGGCCAGGAGATGTCTGTTTTGCCAGTGTAGACCTACAGGTGTGGATGGAGCTGGAGCTGACTGTGAAGGTGAGGAGGACTCCTAAGTGGCTGAGGTAGTGTGACTTTGTGGCCAGCGGCTCTGCGGGTGTCTTCCTGGTGCCCCTACTTCCTGGGCAGCTCTGCTGTCCTAAGAGTTATGGTGGAGATGGCCCTGCACAGAGCCTGCTTATCCAGCCATCTGGCCATTTGGAAGAACTGAATTCTCTAGGCTAAATCCAATCCCATGTGGCCACACAGAAGAATGCTCAGGTCAGGATAGAAAAGTCAGAGAGGAGCTACAGGACACAGGGGGGCTGAAAGGGGTGTAGGCAAAGGGGCAGTGAGAGGACATTTGCTGGGTAGTGTGGGTGGGGGTTAGGGGTGTTCTTAAAGAAGCAAGGAAAGGGAAGATGCCAGCTTCAGACACCGACCAAGCCCAGAGGGTGAGACAACCCCAGGGCAGGAGCAGCCAAGGAAGTTTTCTGCTCTTTTCTCTGCTTTGACCTCAGAGGGTCAGAAATCAGTCTGCAAGCGTGGAGAGCTGAGACATGTCTGGTGGGGGAAACAGAAGAGAAACTTGCTTTTCCTACCTCTCCCTTTACACACACACACACACACACACACACACACATCAGGGGCTGTCTGTGGAAGGAGAGAGGCTGAACTCTGATGTTCAAAGCTCTGAGTATTACATGAAATTAGACACTTCAGATATCAAAGTATATAAATGGAGCCCACTTGGGGACTTTTATTACCACTGTGTAATCAGAAAAGTGATCACACTTGCCTAGGTTTTCAGCTGGAGCAGGAAAGCACTGTATAATGTCTAGACACTAGAGCAAGATTATAAAAATGGCTTTTGATCACGTCTCCTTGAGCCCTGGCTGTTACTGGTGATCAGGACTTAATGGGGATCAACTTTCAGTTGCTCCAGCAGCAGGCTAAGGGTGGCGGGGTTATCTGAATAGTATTTTGTGTGCATAAAAACACTTCAGATACCCTGGACATTCCACCTATGTCTCCACTGGATATTTAGTGGGGTGAGGGGGGTATCTCTGAAGTCAATTTCTTTCTTTCATAGAAAAAGGACTGTGTTATGTTGTTTTTTTAAAAAGATTTATTTATTTATTTATCAAGATTTATTTATTTATACAAGATTGATTTATTTATTTATACAAGAACCGGGGTATAGGCCAGATGCATGGGAGGGTGAGAGGATTCACCAGAGACAAGCGGGGAACAGAACAGGCAGGCTGACAAAATACTCTGCTGAGGGGAGCAGCAGGCGAGACAGGAGAGGTCTGCTGCACCATATGAGACCATTATGTTTGTTTATAAATGAATACATAGCCTCTGTAGCAAAGTCACAAATCTACATGCCTCCCTTCCCTTAGCCTTTTAAGCTTAACTTGCAGATTGTTCTATTTTTACTTACAAACTTAATAAAATTTAAAATCACTTTACAGGGGCCTTTTGTCACTCAGTTAATTTAATTATCTTCTACATCTTAAGTGACTTTTATTAACAATACACCTGGCTTTCTATTCAAGTACTTCAATTATGTAATTTTTATACAGAAAATTAAACTGAGTTTTGTATTCCTTTCCTTTTTAGTCTAAATCAATTACTTGCACTTATTTTCAATACTTGAAACTAATTTTTGATAGTCTAATATGCTAAATTACATTTTACGGAATTATAGCAATATAGTCAGACTGTCCTTAAATGTATCACACATTTTAACAATATTAAAATATTAGCAAAATTGGGGCCTCCCTGGTGGCGCAAGGGATTAAGACACAACCTGTGAAGCTCTCCGCAGCCTCTGCAGCTCGAGTTCGAGCCTGGCCGGCCAGGGAGCTACCCACACGGCGCGGCAGACCTCTCCTGTCTGGCCCGCTGCTCCCCTCAGCAGTGTACTTCTGTCAACCTGCCTGTTCTGTTCCCTACTCTGCCTCTGGTGAATCCTCTCACTCCCGCCCCCCCGCATCTGTGGCCTGCATAAATTAATAAATCTTTAAGAAAAAAATTAGCGAAATCAACACTCGTTATTTCATACTTAACTCTTGGCTTTCCAAGAACATTGCATAGCTGAAGTATTTGAATAGAAAGCCAGATATATTGCTTGTAAAATAAGTGGGGTTCACCTGTTTCCTTGCAAGTTGTCTGGAACGTGCTGGCTGCCTTCCCTGGCGCCGCGGGGTCCCTCCGCCCTGGGCCACAGACGAGCCGCGCGCGATGGAACCGCCGCGACGCCGGGCCCCGCGGGCAGGGGGCGCTGCCACCCCAGGGCCACCCCCCCGTCGGGGCCGGGCCGGGGCGGAGGGAGGCGTGGACGGGGAGCAAAGGTTGCCGCCCGCCGGCGCTGCCCCACCTCGGCCCGAGCGCCCGCGGCATCATGACGGTGGGCGCGCGGCTCCGAAGCAAGGCGGCGAGCAGCCTCTCGCGCCGCGGCCCCCGGGGCCGAGCACGGTCTCAGGGGGACGAGGACACGGCCGCCATCCTCGAGCACCCCGAGTGTGCGGATCCGGCGGCCGAGGGGGCGGCGGGGGCGCGGCGCGCGGGGGGCCGGAGCGCACGGCGGGTGCACTTGGCGGTGCTGCCCGAGCGCTACGAGCCGCTGGAGGAGGCGACGTCGCCCGAGAAGCCCAAGAAGCGGTACCGGCAGAAGCTGAAGAAGTACGGCAAGGTAGGCGCCCCTCGCCTCGCCGCCCTGGGGAGCCGCGCCGTCGGGGAGCCCTGGCCGCCCGCCGGCTCTGGGATCCCCCGCCCCGGGCTCCGGCGATGCCCTCTGCCGCCCACTCCGCCCCCTCGTCCGCTGCTGCCCCGCGGCTCCCCAAGTCTCAGTCTCGAGCTCGGAGGTGACGGGAACGTGCTGGGCCAGAGGGAATAGAATCTGCGCTCTCCCCACTGGTCGGTCGCTCCCACTGCTGGGGGGTTACTGTCAGCCCCGAGGCGCCCCTGGCCGGGGGTCGGACCCCCTCCTGGCTGCGTGCTTGGCAGGACTAACGTCCTGCCTATTTTATTATATATATATATATATATATATATATATATATATATATATATATATATATAAAGATTTATTTATGCATACAAGAGCTGGGGTGCAGGCCAGAGGTGCGTGGGGGTGAGAGGATTCACCAGAGACAGAGTGGGGAGCAGAACAGGCAGACTGACTGAAACACACTGCCGAGGGGAGCAGCGGGCGAGACAGGAGAGGTCTGCTACGCCATGTGACTTGCTCCCTGGCAGCCGGGCTGCTGAGGCTGTGGATTGCTTCATAGCGCGGAGCTATAACCCGTTGCGCCACCAGAGCCTCCCTATTTTAGACACTGGACTACGAAGGCCTTGGCATAGGTTGGTGACGTGCAGAAGGCCTCTGGGCTAGAGAACAGGGACTTGCAGCTCCGGGTTACCCGCTCCTGACAGCATCCTCTCCAGGATGTCCCAGCAGCTGAGAATGGTTTGGGGTATTGCGCCCCATAATCCCCTAGAGCCAGGAACTGGCAGATACAGACATAGCACTTGTGGAATCTGCTCTTTCCTCTCCGCCAGCTCTGTGTGCTTAGGGACCTGTGAACACACTACCTACCGCCTGCCTAGTGGGGGTGTGGGGGAGGAAGAGAAGAGAGAAAATGGAATATTGGGGTAAAGTGTCAGTTTCCTCCTCAGAAATCAGATCCCAAAGGCAGTTTGCAGATGCTTCTGTGACCAAACTCTGGAGGCTGCTGCCACCCCGGTGCCCCCCGGGCCAGACCACAGCCCAGCAGGAAAAGGCACAAAGCTGAGTGCTCCTGGCCAAAGGCCACTGGTCCATCTGACTTATTGTCCAGCTATCTGTGTCCTCCTGGGACCTCTTATCACACCTGAAACCATCCACTCTCCCGCCCAGAAGCTTGGGTTTTTCATGTTCTTGAAAGCTGAATTAGCAGCTCCAGGAAAGGATCCCAGCAGGGAGGGGTAACAGGTATTCACCAGAACCCCGAAGTCTAAGGCTTAATGTCAGGCCAGACTAACTCTCCCTCTTGGTCCTAACTGAGCCCCAAGAAGCTACCACTTGCCTCTCTGCTGGTGACTAACAATGTGGAACCCTGGTCCCTGTGGATAGTCTGTGGGTGCTCACAGCTATGCCAAGCTCTTGAGCTCCAAGGATGGGTCAGACGCAGCCCGCCCCAGAAGGACACCGCCCCCCCACCCCAGGGAGCTTCTGGCGGGAGCACGCGATGGCATCCTGGGGTTCAGCACTTGAGCAGTCATCTCCAGGATCAGGGTGGAAAGTTGGAAAGTCAGGGAACTTTTCACATAGATGGTGCATGAGACTGGGCACAAGGGTGAGTTCAGATTTCATAGGTGATGGTGAGGTACCAATTCTCAGCCAACAATTGGCTGTTGTCCCTCACACACATTCTCAGCAGTATATTCACAATAGCCCAAAGGTGTAAACAACCCTAATGTCCATCAACAGAGAAATGAATAAATGAGATGGGCTCCATTCAGGCAATGGAATTGGCCCTAAAAAGCAGTGAAGTCCTGGTACTGAGCATCATGGATGAAGCTCTAACATACATCAAGCGAAGAAAACCAGACGCACAAGGTAACATACTCTAGATATGATTCCATTTATATAAAATATTCAGAGTAAAAAGTCCAGCGCAGCAGAATGCAGACTGGTGGTTGCCTGGAGACTGGGGGTGGCTGTGGGGGACGGAGGAAGAACTGATGCCACTGAACCATACACTTGAAAATGTTTGATTTTTACGTCATGTGAATTTCATTTTGATTTGTATAAAAAAAAAATCCACCAGACAGAAAAGGGGGGCATCCACAGCGGAGGGGCAGGGCCAGCAGAGATGTGGCCCGCCCAGCTCTGGGGTTTCACCTAGACCCTCGAGGCCTCAGAGATGAATTGTCCCATTGTCCCTGGACGTGCCCTTTCTGCCCTTCAGAAGGGCAGCTTCCGCTTCCACTTTCCTGGAGGCAGCTGAGAAGGGAACCAGGCTCCACTTGGAAGATGGAAATATCCAGGCCCCCCTTGCTGAGAATCCCTGAGAACAGCCCTGGCTGGGCTAGATAGGAGAGTTGATTTTACCTGCTTGGGTTTCCAGGTGAAATTTGATCTGACTGGGGCCCAGGAGCAGAGGCAGTGACCTACAAACAGCTCCAGATTATTAACCAATGCCTTTTCCTTCCAGAAAGGGCCATTACAGTACCTATTCATCTGTTAACCTCCCCCGTCCTTGGCCCAAGGCCCCTCTTGCTTCCAGAGTCTCAGGTTGCTTTAGGTCAACAGTGGACCATGTGGGGTGCAGCTCCCATCAAGCTGCACCCCACAGTCTAGGTGTGTGCAGTGCTCTCTCAGCCACCAGATCACCTGGTGCCATGGTCCCCTGAACGCATCGCTGGCACCAGGTGACTAATGCAGGACTGTTACAAGGAGGGCTTGGCATTTGTGAAATGTGCAAGGACCCGCTCACTCTGCCCTGCTGTTCCAAGGACCCCATAATCCTAACCAGGGGCGACCCCCATACTGAGCAGCTCCAGCTCTGCCCTCAGAAGGCTGGGTGCCTGGGACAACTGGTTCCCTGTTGTCTGTTTTTTAACTAAGTTCTTTTTGTTAAGGTAACATTGTTTTACAACATTGAATATGAGTCAGAAATACAGGGTCCCACCTCTTCAGGTGTATGTTACCACACCACACCCACCACAGTCCTTGGGGTCCCCTCCACCCTGCTCTCCACCTTCCTGCTCCCCCTCTAGTATCCTCAGTTTTACAGTCAGATTCTAGTGTTTGGTTTTGGTTTGGTTTTGTCTGACTGTTTTGTGTCTATTTTCCACAGGAGTGGCACCATCCAGTATTTGTCTTTCTCCCTCTGACTTATTTCACTAGCATCATCCTTCCCAGTTCCATCCATGTTGCCGCAAATGGCAAGAGTTCATCTTGTTTTATAGCTGAGTTATATCCCACCGTGTGACATAGCATGCCTCTTCATCCACCCCTCTGTCCTTGGGCACGTAGGTCCTGGCTAATTTTTTCAGTAATGATGCCAGTGTTTATATGGCGCTGGATGCAGGTTGGAAGAAGGGACATGGGTTTGCTGTGCCCCTACTGGGGTGCTCTGCTGCCCATTTTGTGTGCTCTCTCTCTCTCAACAACCAGCAAAGAACAGGGAGGATTAAAGGAAGTGAAGCTATTTGCTCCAGGCAGCTTATAGAGCAGCAAAGCTGGGAGGCAGCATTGACCTGGCCTAGGCCCGTGTATTGGGGAGGGGACTCACAACTAAAACTTAGCTGATGAAAAGAGGCCACCTTTCCCAGCTTCCTGAGAGCCACCCACCGGGATTCTGATAAGGAAAGTAAAATTGTTAACCTGACAGTCAGAAGTAGGGGATGGAAGGGGTAAGTAGGGTGTAGAGTAATCTTTCACTCAAGAGAGAGAGAATGTCCCTGTGTTCTGGGGTGTTAAGGGGAGTGGGGGCATAGGGTAAGGACACAGCTCGGAAGCCAGGCCGCCAGCCACTGGTTATGTGACCTTGGGCTGTGCTGGCCCCTCTGCCTCAGTCTCCTCCTCTGTTACATGGGTGAACACCAGCATGTGGCCCGGAGCAGAGGAGTCACTCTATCTAGAGGTGACAGGGAGTCGGTCACTAATGGCTGTTATTAGAAGGGGTGAAGGGGGCCTCCCCGGTGGTGCAGCGGTTGAACGCTGGGTTACAAAGCTGCCCACAGCCTCTGCAGCTGCGGTTCGATCCCCGGCCGCTGGGCGAGGGTCCCACATGGTGTGCAGACCTCTCCTGCCGCCAGCTGCTCCCCTCAGCAGTGTGCTTCGTCAGTCTGCCTGTTCTGCTCCCCGCTCTGGCTCTGGTGAATTCTCTCACCCTCCTGCGCTTCTGACTGTACCCAGTGCTTGTATAAATAAATAAATACATCTTTTTAAAAAAGGGGGTGAAAGACCCCCAATCACTGGCACTTTCCTGATTCCTTTCCGTGGACTCTGACCTGGACCCCCAGCTTTGCTCCCAGGCCCTGACTACCTTTGACAAGCAAAGACTTGATTTAGGGAGAAGCCCTCTTTGTCCAAAGCTGCCTTCTTTTCTGAAACTGGAGGGGACAGGCGATCCCTGCCCCCACTTGGGGACCCTCCCCTAGTAGTTTCCTGTGACAGCTGGAACAGATGACCACCAACGTCCTGTTTTAAAACAATGCAAATTGCTCTCACCAGGCACAAGGCTCAGGGCTGGTTCCTTCTGGAGTCTCCAGGGGAGAACACTTTCTTTGCTTTTCCAGATCCCAGAGTCCCCTCCTCCACTGTCAACAGCTAGTCCTGTGGCATCTGCCAACCTTTTACCCTCTGCCCTCTGCTTCTGTCCTCACACCTCCTTCCCTTTGCTCCTGCTCCCCTCCTTATGTGGATCTTGTACAGACACACCTCGGAGATAGAGCCGGTTCAGATTCCAGTGCAATAAAATGAATGTTGCAGTAAAGCAAGTCACTTGCCTGTTTTGACTTCCCAGTGCCTGTGAAAGTGATATTTACAATGTGCTGTAATCTGTGGGTTGTGCATAACATTATGTCTAAAGAGCAATGGACATACCTTGATTAAATGTGACACAGAAGCTCCAAGTGAGTATGCGCGGGGCAGACAGCCCTGAGAGACTTGCTGGATGCGGGGTACCCTCAGACCAATTTGTAAAAAGTGAAATATCTGCAAAGTACATTAAAACCAGGTACCTGCAAAGATATGAGCCTTTATATTGACTGGCTAATCCAGGATAAGCCCCCATCTCAAGATCCTTAACTGAATCACTCCAAAGTCCCTTTTGTCATGTAAGGCAACATATTGTCTGGCTCTGGGATTAGATCAAGGGCACCTGGGGAGTGACTCAACCTACCACATTCTCCCGTGCTCCCCCATGCCCTCTGCCCCTCTGGGAGATTATTTGGGTAGGAAAAGTACTCATCCAGAAAATGGTGGTTGCCAGGGTCTTGGGGGTGGGAGAATGGAGGAGCAGTTATTAAAGGCTTCCAACTTGCTACATTAGCCCTGGAGAGCTAACACACAGTACAGTGATTACAGACAAGGAAACGATATAAACACTGAACTTGCTCAGAGACTAGATCTTCCTTATCCTCAGACTGGAAGAAACGCTAATTATATGATGTAATAGAGGTGTTAGCTATCACACCTGCCAACAGAAGCTGGCAGTTATTGAACTATAAATGTATTGAATCCATTTGCTGTACATCTTCCACTTACACAGCGGTATATATTAAATATATTTTAATTTTAAAAACCTACTTGGAATTATTTTAAGTTAGTCCTTAGCTCCATTTTACACATAGTCACACACACAATATTTTATTCTTTGCTCTGTCCGTCAAGGGAAAGTTGTGTAAGAATTTTACCAAGAGTTGTTTTCTAGTTCAGAAAATAGTGGTATATGAGTTGCCAACATAGCACATCAGTCCACATCTGCAGCTGTCTTGTCCAAGATGATCCTATGTGAAGGTAGACTATTTCCAGTCTTCTCATGTAGTTAAGTCCAAGCTTATATACGCTAGTTTAATTTCATTTATTTTATTTTTTGTGGGACCCTCGCTGGTGGCCAGGGATCGAACTGATGCTGCAGAGGCTGCGGGCAACCTCACAACCCAGCGCTCAACCGCTGTGCCACCAGGGGAGACCCTAGTTTAATTTTATTAGAAATTTATTTTGGTTCTTCTTTTATTTTTTTTTTAAAGATTTATTTATTTAGGGCCTATCCTGGTGGCGCAGCAGTTGAGCGCTGGGCTGCGAAGCTGCCCACAGTCTCTGCAGCGCCGGTTGGATCCCCGGCTGCTGGGTGAGGGTCCCACATGGTGTGCAGACCTCTTCTGCTGTACCCGCTGCTCCCCTAAGCAGTGTACTTCGGTCCTTCTGCCTGTTCTGCTCCCCACTCTGGCTCTGGTGAATCCTCTCACCCTCCCGTGCTTCTGACCGTACCCAGTGCTTGTATAAATAAATAAATAAATCTTTTAAAAAAAGTTTTATTTATTTATACAAGCATGGGGGTACAGGCCAGAGGCATGGAAATGTGAGAGAATTCACCAGAGAGAGAATGGGGAGCAGAACAGGCAGAAGGACCAAAGACACTGCTGAGGGGAGCAGTGGGCGAGACAGGAGAGGTCTGCTGTACGCGTGTGGGGATCTCCCCGGCTGGTCAGGAATCGAACCTGCGCTGCAGAAGCTGTGGACAGCTTCACAGCGCTGTGATCAACCCGCTGCGCCACCCGGGAGAACCTGGTTCTTCTTTTAAAAAAGAAACTCTACTTAGATCAAAGAACCTGAAATCTGCTCCCCCAAATGACTGCTGGGTGGGTAGCCTATGTTTCTTGGCGTCCCTTTTCTCAAATCTGTGTTTTGACAGTGCTCCAGCTAATGAGCTATTTTAGTATCTTTTTTCCTAAATTGCAAAGCTGAAGTGACAAGCAGTTTTTTTAAATAGCGGGCTGAGGAAAATGGATATACACATACCAAAAAAATGTCAAGTTTAATGCAAGTCATCCGTGATCCTTGTGGTGTTGCTTGTAAAGGGCGCCCCACACAATCATATCTGTACCCCGGGAACAGCGTCTTTTTTGTTATTTTAAACAGGTAAGTAAAATTCTTCCCCAGAGTCATAGCGCACACTTATAGAAATGTGTCTCTTAGCAACCTCATCTCCACCCCCGTCCCCCACACACTTGTGTGCCTTTCCTAAGGCCTCATGGAAAAGTCGATGGGGTGCTGTCTGGGAATCTGTGTCCAGTGAAGGTGCAGACTGACCTGTCTCTCCCGGAGCTCCTCATTGAGCCTGCAAAGGACCACAGGAAGCACCCACGCCCTTTCTGGCTGCTGGGGATCTAGTAATGAGCACAATATAGTCCCCACCTCATTGCATTATCCTGAGGGCGAGAGAAAGCCGAAGTCAATGGAGAGAGGCTCTTAAGAACCAATAGCACAGGTTATCTATTTATGTATTCACCACGACAAACATAAATCACTATGTAATAAAAAGAGACAAAATACACTAAAAATAGCTGACCTTCGGAGGCACCTCTGTGCTTGCACTTTGTACATTACCTGCATAAACCCATTCCATCCACTGCCCAACCCAGTGAGGTGGTTACTAGATACACCTGCTTCATAAGTGAGGCAGCTGAGGCCAAGCAAAGTTACGGAAGTGATTGAGCTGGAGCTCAAGCTCCATCGCGAACAGTTGATAGCCAGGTTACACACTTTCTTTTTTTTTTTTTTAAGATTTATTTATTTATGCATACAAGAACTGGGGTACAGGCCAGAGGTGTGAAGACTGAGAGGATTCACTAGAGACAGAGCAGGGAACAGAACAGGCTGATCAATGGAAATACACTGCTGAGGGGAGCAGCAGGTGAGACAGGAGAGGTCTGCTGTGCCATATGGGTAGCTCCCTTGCTGGGGATTGAACTCATGCTGCAGTGGCTGCAGATAGCTTCATAGGTTGCGTCTTAATCCCTTGCGCCACCAGGGAGGCCCCCCTTTTTAAAAAAGATTTATTTATGCGTACAAGGGCTGGGGTGTAGACCAAGGTGCGGGGGGGGGTGGGGTGGTGAGAGGATTCACCAGAGACAGAGTGGGGACTAGAACAGGCAGATCCACTGAAATACACTGCTGAGGGGAGCAGCGGGTAAGATAGGAGAGGTCTGCTTCGCTGTGGCTCTGCTCCCTGGCTGGGGATTGAACTTGTGCTGCTGTGGCTGTGGATAGCTTCATAGTGCTGAAACTTAACTCCTTGTGCCACCAGGGAGGCCCCACACTTCCTTTTTTAAAGAAGCGCTGCACAGTAAGTTCCCACCTAACAACCACAGGTTCTTGAAACTGCAGCTTTCAGGAAAGAACATGTAACAAAAGCAGGCCCTTGAATAATACTGATTCCCTGCTCTCCTGAGATGGGTGCACCTCATCTTCCACAAAAGAGATCCTAGGAGAGCTTGGAGACTGTGGATGTGTGTTTTCTTTCTTTTTTTTTTATTTATACAAACACTGGGTATAGTCAGCAGCGCTGGAGGGTGAGAGGATTCACCAGAGCCAGAGTGGGGAGCAGAACAGGCAGACTGACGAAATACACTGCTGAGGGGTGTGGTGGGCATGGCAGGAGAGGTCTGTCGCGCCATGTGGGACACTCGCTGTCGGTGGGGGATCAAACCGGCGCTGCAGAGGCTGGGGCAGCTTCGCAGCCCAGCACTCAACCGCTGCGCCACCAGGGGAGGCCCTGTGGATGTGTATTTTCTGTGTGTGTTGGTGGCAGGGACGCTTGAGGAGAAAGGAGAAGGTAAGAAATAGCACTCAGACCAGCCTGAGACAACGGCTTTTCCAGACAATGTCAGAAATCGAGGTGCTTGTTTGTGGTTGTGAAGAGGGAATTTTAGGGGAATCAGTGCCCCAGTTCCGGGACCTGGGAACGTCAGTAGCCAAGGAACAAGTGTGTGAGAAAGTCCAAGTCATCCACCTGGATGTTGAGGTCATCTAGAGTGATGACAGAAGATGGGGGTCAGGAGAGGAAGTCTGGGGGCATCTGCATGATCAATGTCAGTCCTTGGTAATGGTGCTCATTTCTCTGTTGTGATTCCCCTGAAGTCCCTTAGGTGCCCCTGTGTGGCATCCGGCTTGCAGAGAAGGACAGGCAAGGGAGGGCAGCAAGGACACCACTGGGGCTGACCCTCGAGGAACTTATGGTTGTATCAGAAACACAGGACTTATGGATGCAGCAGTCAGAGACAGCAGGAGCCCCTCAGCAGGCAGATGGGTCAGACAAGAATTGGCTCTGTAAGATGAGAGAGGACAGGACCTGCTTTCCGATAAGGTGGAGAAGGAAACTTGCCCCTAGCCTTCAGATGACGCCCAGTAACTTAGCTAGAACAGAGAAGAGGAGCAGGTGTTTTGGTTTTAGAGCACAGCTCACAGCTGTTTCTAAGATCTCTGAGCTATCTGGAAAGATGTGCTTGAAAACAGTTTGGGAGGTGCTGTGTCTGTTTCTGTGGCCCCCACATGTCCCTATATTGGTGGTTGGTGTGGTGCGGAAACAGGGTATTTGCCTGTGTATTCCTGTGTACGTGCCCGTGACACAACATTGCCCATCCTAACCCTTTGTTTCTTCCCTTTATTCTTACAAACAGAATGTGGGGAAGGTCATCACCAAGGGCTGCCGCTACGTGGTCATCGGCCTGCAGGGCTTTGCTGCCGCCTACTCTGCCCCCTTTGGAGTGGCCACCAGCGTGGTGTCCTTTGTCCGCTAGGAAGCACTGCTGGGGCCCAAGCCACCAATGAAGATGGAAGCTCCAGCTCTGGGAGAAAACTTTCAGACTTGAACCCATAAGAAAAAAAAAAAAAAAGGCTCTGTTGAATGAATGAATGCTGTCAGCGTGGTCACCCTGCGCATCTGCTGAGCTTTTCACGACTGCGGCACCTGCTGGCTCCCATGGACGATCCTGCAGAGAATTTGACCCATATCGGGTTTGGGATTAGAGGTCATTTGCTGAAACCTGAGCCTTCATAGAAGACCGTGGCAGGGGGCTGGCATGGGGACTCACACTGACGCCGCCAGCATTCTGGGTGGGCAGCGCCATGGGGAAGGATTGGGGACTGGATAGATGAGACCCTAGAAAGGTGGCAGTGGGCAGGCCGGGCCAGCTCTGGGCAGCTGGAGTCCTTTTGAGGGCAGCAGCGGAGCTGGTCTTTCTGAAGTCGTGCCGCCCCATTGCCGCCTCCACCCCTGGGTCCCCAGGCTTGAGAAGACGGAAGGAAGACAAACCTCTTTGAAGGCTAGATGCTTTGAAAACTGCTGCTGCTGTGTTGTGCTGTTTTAGAAGTGGATAAAAGCCTGTCATTCTCCCCCCCCTCAGCCAGCAGAGAAGGGGACTGCTGACAGGACCCCTGAGGACTCTTGTGAGGAGTAGGATCTCGCGTGACCCAGTGTGCAGCCCCCTCCTCCTCTGGGCCAGGCTGAGAAGGGGGCTCTGTGTGCAAGAGGGAGACTCCACCTGGAAAGCAGACAAAGTGATTTAGAGAAGGAACCCGTACGTAGTTCACAGGTGTGAAGGGAGAGGAGATGTTGGACCAGACAATGGAAGTCAGGACCTGGTTGGCTTGATCCATGCTGGGAAGATCCAGGTGGGCTGGCAGGACCAGGAGGCCGGTGGGAGAGGTGCCGCGCTTGGTGCGTAGAACTGCGAGGCCCGTGAGCTCACCTTGGCTGCCTGGGCAGCATTTTGTTTTCTGTTTGACCCCAGCTTACCTGGGTGCAAAGTTAGGGTGGGCAGACATCCCGGCCTGACACCCCCCAGGGACGACCATGGGTGCCCATTTGGACCATTAGGGGGTGGGGTGGAGGGTGAGAGTCAAAGGGAGTCTCATGTCCTCATCTCTGACAGTCCCCATGAGAGGCCACGGTTCTATTTCTAAAATGTTTAGAAGCTGGCCGGCTGCAGCGTTGATGGGAATTTTCCGGGTCTTACAAAGAAGGCTTCCGCCCTCGTGGTTGATGGGTCAAATCCAACTTGGTGGTATTGGAAAGTGGAGAAAGGGGGAGACAGACAGACAGAAGGACAGAAAAAGGGAGGGGTGGAGAAGAAAGCCAAGGCCGTGAAGCTAGACTCAGCTCCATGTTCCGGAGTGTCATGTTGAAGATGAAGTTGGGCCCAATTCCTGCATCATTAATATTTGTGAAGAAAAGAGAAAACAAATGGTCTTGTTTTAGCTCAAACGGCACATTTCCAGGCCTATCCCGTAGTTACAGCTCCAGAGGAAAGGAGAGCAGGAAGTGGAGGTGACAGCAGGGTCTTGCTACTGAGAAGAGATGCTCCTGGGAGGCTGGCTGGTCCCAGGAAGGGAAGCCGGTGGGTTTGGAGGAGCCCCGGGCGGGGCGGGGGGGGGGGACACCCAGTGTCCTTGGGGGTGAAAAGTCAGTGTGGCCCTGGGAGGGGTGAGAGCTGCCAGGTCTGTTCAAGGGAGACCTTCCCTACCCTGCTTCCCAAATTGGGCACACTATAAGACCAAGCCATTTTTGGCTCTGAAATTCTTGAAGTCTTATCCCAGAAATTTCCAAAGTCAACAGCCGCAGGGATTGTCCAGGAGCCAGACTCACCTTTGCAGAAGATGAGCTTTTCCTAACTGTCGCTGCTTCTGCTTCTGCTGCTGCTGAGTCCTCACTGCCCCAGGCAGGGCACCCACTTCTCAAGTGGCCTCTTGCCTTTTTTCTCTTTCATTCCTTACTGATAATTGGCTTTAGACATTTCTCTTGATGTGTTTTACCCATTCTTGTACCTGTTCTTGCTTTAAGGTGTAAATAAAATTCTCAGTTTCTTTAAGGACTCCATGTGTGAAGTTTTTCTTCTCCTTACTTTCTCATCTTGCCTAAGGGAGATTCTTTAGGCTGAGAACTTCGTGAGAGGAGCCCAGTGCGCTGCTTGAGGCCCAAAGGAGTGAGAGAGGCCTTGGCTCCCCCAGAACTCTGCTGGGGTGTTCAAGGCAGGGCAATTCTCAGAAGCCCAGCAGAACTGGCTTCAGGACCCTCAGCTCATGTGTTCATTAGAAATGAATGTTTCCAGAACCTTCTGTTTGGATTTAGAGTCTAGCCTGGGGCCAGGAAGCTGTATTTTCCACCAGCAGCCTAGAAGATTCTGAAGCAACTGTTCCTCTGCCCCAGCTGAGAAGTGCTGACCCCTGGAGCCTGCTACAGGGTGCATCTGCCAGAGGGCTCAAAGATGGGAGCCTGGAGTGTGGCCCAGCAGGGGTCGAGGTTGCCAGATACCACCCCCATGTAGGGCATGTGTGACAAGGCCTCTGTCTGAGTCCACAGAAGCAGTGGGTGAGATCTCAGTGGAGGGAACAGTGGAAGAGAAGGGGATGAACTCTGCACTTGTCAGCTTGCTGTGAGGTAGAGAGCAAGGCAGACCTTGGACTCACCCCTGCTGTCTGTGTAGCACCCATGTTACTGGGTCAGAGATGCCCTGACCAGGCAGCACCCAACTGTGGGACCTCCTCCTGTACCACCATTGTCCCTGGGGCCTGGTGCTTCAGCAGAAACAGTCACAGTCCTGGGCTTGGGAGACATCTGGTGGGGTGAGGCAGCCTGGAGGCAGTCCCTGTAATTTCCATCCCTGCCCCACCCCATCCCTCCCCCCTCCCCTGACTCTGCAGGTGTGCAGGTAATCCGAATTTAACTTCCTCGTGCCCTATCTTCAGAATATTTCAAAGACTTTCAGATCTCCCTGTAAACTTATTTTATGTTGCAAATTATGCACCAAGGGAAAGCCCTCTGCATCCCCAGAAAGGTTGATTTTAGAGAGGCATCAATATTTTGGCAAAAAGCCCAGATGGCTCACAAATAAAACTTCTCAAACTCTCTTCACCATCCCTAGAGAAGTGTAAGAAAAATTAATAAGACCTGGGGTTTCTATTTTTCTAGGCAAAGTTGTTTTGGAGCCAAACCACTCCACCGAGTGTTGTAGCAAGGGGCAAGGAGATGGCTTCGGGTCTTCTAGAAGGCTCAGTGCCGGGGCCTGGTGGGTGCTGGAGCCACACAGGGGTGAGGCTGGAGGAGTGGAAGGTGACAACAAAGACTGGATCTTGGCGCTCAGGGCTCTGGGGAGCTCAGTGCCTTCCCCCCCCCCCCCCCAGCTCCCTCGGGTAAACACAAATTAGGATCAGAATTCAACATCTCGAGGACGGCTTTGCTGTTTTTTAAGGCATTTCTCAGGTGATTCCTCTTGCATAACCTGTTGACAAGGCTCTAAACAAACCTGGTCCAAAGCAGTTAGCAAAAAAACCCAGAAAGTACTGAGGGGGGAAGGGCACCCTGTTTCCCTGGCTCTGTGTGCCTCCACCTGGACTACTTTGCTTAAGTTAAAAGGAGCCCATTTTACATTGCTGGTCTTGTTTTTGTTTTGCTTCCTGGGGGAGATATTTAGAATCACTGCAGAGTAATAAATGGTGAGATAACACTTTTTTTGTGGGGGACTTTTACATGTTTATATATATATTTTAAAGATTTATCCATTTATGCATACAAGAGCTGGGGTACAGGCCAGTGATGTGGGGCATGAGAGGATCCACCAGAGACAGAGTGGGGAACAGAACAGGCAGACTGACTGAAATACACTGATAAGGGGAGCAGTGGGCAAGACAGGAGAGGTCTGCTGTGCCATGTGGGTAGCTCCTGGGCAGGGATCGAACTCGTGCTGCAGCGGCTGTGGACAGATTCATAAGTTGTGTCTTAACCCCATGTGCCACCAGGGAGGCCCCTGTTTATATTCTTTATTGTTACCAAGCCCACCTGTAGGGCTGGGAAGCGGAGCCGCTTTCTGCTGGGGATGATGATTTGTGAATCCTGAGCTCTTTGGTGAGGAAGAGGAAACGGCATGTAAATGATTTATGGACTCCATCTCTCATCACCCTTTTTTCCATCCAAAATCAGAATTTGCCTTTCAGTGTTTTCAGTAAATGAGAATTCCTGTGACCCCGGGAGCCCCTGCTTCTGCCTGTTCTCTGAGTCTCGTTCCGTGGGACCTGGGGTGTAGTCAGCCTCTCCTCGTCTCCTCTCAGCATGACGCCCTGTGCAGGGAGCACGGTGCCATCACTTCAGTTCATTCTCCATGTCATTGCTTCGTAGTCACACATGGCCAATCACGTAGAAACTGTTAGCATTACCTCACTTTTCTAGATGAGCAAACCGAAGCTCAGGGAAGGCAGGGAGTTCTACTCCAATGTCACAGCCGGAGGTGTGACACCAGGACCCACAGATGCTTCTCTTTGCCATTTCCTTTCAGGTTCCTGCTACTGCCATTGACCATGAATGTGATCACACTCAATGTGCATTCCTGGTTCCAATGTCATGACCCAAGTGGTCAGACATACTCCAAACCAGGAAGCTAGGAACCTGCCTGGCAGCCGATCGCATGCTGGATTTTTGAGTTCCTGGGATGGCTTAGCTGCTGCTTTGCTGCGGGACAGCCTGTGCCAGGGCAGGACGCGGCCCCCTGCCAGCACAGTTGGACAGGGGGAACTATGCTCCCATGGAGCCCACCCAGCTTTGTCCACCAGCCACATGGCGACACCCTAGAGGCTCCAGGAAGCCACCCTGCAAGACAGAAATGGGCTAGCATTGCGGTTGGGCCTGGGCCAAGAGCAATGACCAGGGCTCTGCCTTAGAAGCCACGCCTCAGAGCCATGGTGATGGGTTGCTTAATGCTTAATGAATCTTTCAGTTCTTCTGAGGATGCTAATAACATCAGTGCCTGATGAACATCCTCAGGCCGTTTTAAATTGACAATGCAGAAAAGAGCAACATTCCAGAAATATCACCAAGAATCTTGTGATCAACTATCTCCAGCTGCCCAACGCCCCCTTGAAGGAGAATCCCTACCCGCATGCTCCCACATTCCTTTCTTCCCTGTATAACCTTCCCTCACTGACCACTCGGGGAGTGGCCTTTCCAGAGCACTGACTGTTGTCCTCCCTACCTGGAGACACTGGCTAATAAAAGCCATCCTTTCTGGAAGCAATCCCTGGTTCAGAGTCTGGCTCTCTGAGCTCAGTGATAAGACCCAGTTTAGGTGCGGCTTCAAGCCTCTGGCCGTGGCCTTGGGCAAGCCCCTCAGCTCCTTTGGGTTTCAAGGAGGCTTGAAATATAAGAGCCTGCCTCCCAGCCTGCCTCCCAGCATGCTGAATTTTTGAGTTCCTGGGATGGCTTAGCTACTACTAAGCTGCTTCAGAGGCTTACTTGGAAGATGGACTGTGAAGTGTGTTAAGCATGCAACAGCTCCTACCTGAAAGTCAGCTTTCCTGAGGTCATGAGGTGGAGGCTGGGGGTGCGGTGGTGGGGATGTGGGGGGCCAGAAAGCCTCAGAGGAGGGAGCAAAGGAGAAGCGAGCACAGCCTGCCTGCCATCCACTAGCTTTGCCCGGTTCCCTGAAATCCCCTTTATGCTCTGCAGCACATCCAAGGTTCCTGATCGATTAGATCCCACCTGGCCCTTTCCTTGGAAACAACCCTGCCTCTGCCCTGGAAAGGGGAGGAGCTGGAAGGAGCATGCAGGGCAGAGCCATCCTTGGGGCACCTGCAGGAAAGGTTTGTTGCATTTCTTCTTTGCAGCCACGCCAGACAAGGACTAGCGAATTCTCACCCTGAACTCAGTTCCACTTTTCCTGCCACCTTGCTTCCAGAAAACAGACTGGCCTTGTCTGTAACAGGGAGCGACAGGAGTCAGCTCATCACTGAGGACAAACAGGGCCTGAGGCCAAGGGAAAACCCGGGAGGGGTGGCACAGGCAGAGGCCACCTTGTTAATGGGAAGGGGAGCTGCAAACTCAGCAACAGCAACTGTGGGAACCTGGGGAGCAAATATGCACTTTTTTTCAAAGATTTATTTATTTATGCATACAAGAGGTGGGGTACAGGCCAGAGATGTGGGGGGCGAGAGGATTCACAAGAGACAGAGTGGGGAACAGAACAGGCGGACTGACTGAAATACATTGCTGAGCAGCAGGCGAGACAGGAGAGGCCTGCTGCACCATGTGGCTTGCTTCCTGGCTATCAGGGCATCAAACTCTGCTGCAGAGGTTGCAGATTGCTTCATGGTGCAGTGCTTAACCCCTTCCACCTTTTCATTTGTGTTCCTTTATTTTTCCAACAGTGTTTTTTAATAAAGGAAACATATTTGCCACGTAACCTTGTGTACATGGAAGCTGTGCAGACTGCTGATTTGGAACCTTAATATATATGTAGCCTAATTGCTCTGGCCCCCAGCTCCCACTTCTATCTTGTCACATACTTACCATTTCTTTTTCCTGGTGGACTAACGAAGGTCTGGTCTCTGAGCAGTGAGGTGACTCTGCCAGGGCAGTTGTGGGTACTGAGCAGTGGGGACCTCATGGGAAGGGCGGTGTCCAGAGCAGGCAATGCCATCAGATATTCGAATAGAGAAATCACCTTTATTGTGAATCAATTGGCAAAGAAGTAGGAGATAAACACAAATCTACCTCCCCAATTATGAAAGCAATGAAGTTACATAGGTTTTGGGGACCAGGGCTGAGAACAGAGGAGATAAATTTCATTGGCTAAGGAGTAGACTGAGGACAAAGAAAAGTGGATTTGTTTGAAGTTCATTGACTAGTTGCAGGGCAGTTCATATGCGAAAAAATCTGAAGAGGCTTTTCATCAGGTAACTGGAGTTTTACATTTCTCTTGTGGGTCCCTCACCTCAAGGTCACCCCCTTCTCTGTGCCTGCAGTCTCCTGGATCCTCCCGGCCTTGGAGCTCAGCTCAAGGTTAGTCCGTGGCCCCAGGCTCTGCTGTGTCTGTAAAAGC